CACACACACACACACACACACACACACACACACACACACACACACACTAGAATCACTGCAGATTTCCCACCCCGTTTGTTCAGAAAGCCAGCGAGGCATGGGGGAACATTTGCGATCCAGTATTGCAAAGGGCCCAGATTGATTTTTGTCTCCCCACGCTGGAAGCAGAGTTAATCAGTTTTGCAAGGGGGGTGCTGAAGTAGGTTTGTGAAGATTGCCCGGCATTTCCTCCTCCACTGGGCTAGGATTGGCTGGCCAAAGATGCCCACTGATTGTAAGTTTAGCCTTGGGAGCAAGGATGACTCATTCTGTATTTTTATGAATCAGCTGATGGCTTCCTGGATGAAGGTCCCCCTTTTATCTGCTCTCTATTTTTAATGGAAACCTTTTATCATCAAATAGGATATGCTGTTTGCTTGGCAATAAAGCATAGTCCGTCTGAACTAGTATTATTCAGACCTGGAATGAAGGTTCAAGTTGGTTACTCTATAAATTTTATGGAAATGGAAGAGAAGAGGTACAGGGAAATACACATTTTATTTCATTTACCCCCTCTCATTTATGGTCCAACGAGATAGGTATTACAGTTGAGCAAATTGAGGCTTGGAGATGTTGAGTAATTTGCTAAAAACATCTCAGAGCCAGTACAGTTAGGATATGAGTCTTGGCCTGTCTCTCCGTAAAGCTCTGCTGTTTTTCTTTTATTCTATTTTGTCTCCCTCTGTGGAAGAGCCACAGGAAATGTGATTTACCTCTCTGGATATTTGGCATGCAAACTTGCTTTCCTTCCTTTCTTCAATGAGTATGGCTCCTTTGATCTTTTTATGTCTGACTTAAGAGAACATTCTCTGGCTATTCCCAGAGTAATATGGCTTTTCTCCCCCAAATGGAGACATGATGGTCAAATGCAGCTCAAAAAGAACCACTTTGGAGAGTGCAGGGTGGGAGGGATTGCAGAGTCTTCTAATTTGTTACAAGAGCGTCAGCTTTGCTGGGGAACCCCTTTAGTCAACCATTCACTGAGCAATATACACAGCAAGCAATTTAATTGGCCATGCAGAAAAAGCACGTGGCCTTTGGAAGAAGAAGGATCTGGATATAGACGCCAGCCCCATCACCTCCTACCTGTGTGACCTCAACAGACACGTCTCAGCCTTTCCACGCTTGCCGTGCCTCAACTGCAAAATGCAGATAATGCAGTGAACCCCGTGTCACTGAGAGGACCAGATGCAACAAAGGGCCTGGCACTAAATACACAGTTGTTGGGACTGTTGTCATCGGTGTTGTTGAATCTACACCTCTATGACTTACTTCTTGACAATTTGATAACTTGGAGGCCGTCATTGAAATCGTGTTTATAATATAGGCAACGTCATGACATTTGCTCCGTGATGAAAAGGGAGACCTTCCTAGACATGAGTGCCAGCCCTGCCACTTGCTAGCTTTATGTCTTGGGTCTTGCCCCCTAGAGGCAGAGCCCGAGACAGGGATGTTTTTTAAGTGGTGGATCGAGGGGGTGTTCTCAGGAGAATGGGAGCAAGGCGAGCAGGGCAAGGAAGGAGCCAAGCAAGCATTTTGTCTCCCCTGGATCCCACCAGGAGTTCTGGAGCATGGATTGTACCGTAGAGTCAATCTGACCTTGAAGGAATAGGGGAAGTCCTTGTGCCCCCGCACACCCCCGTTTCCCTCCCTACTCCCGTCCTCAGTCGGGTATGGGCAGTGGGGGCATGGAGCCTCTCAGGCAAAGGTGGCTTCTGTTTGAGCTCCATTCCTCTGGAAGAGGGATGAGGGTTAGGGTGCCACATTGAGCCAGGAGCCACCAGCACTTCCAGCAGTGGGGGGATGGGTGTACTGCCCAGGAAAAAGGGATCTGAGTGAGGCGCAAATATCGCCCTCGATGCTGGCTGACCTTGAACATGTTGCTTATTTCTCTAAACTTCAGTTTCCTGGCCTATAAAATAGAAATGATAATAGCACCTCCCTTTACAGTGTTGTAATGGCGCTGAAATGAGATCCAGTGTATAAAGACCTTTTTGGTGATGCCTGGCGTATAGGAAGTGGTTAATAAATGATAGCTATTATTATTTAAACTCTTATTCTTGGTTTCCGTAGCTACCATGTACAGTATATCATTCAAAGGGGAACTTTTGGGGTGTTAAAGGGGCACTGATTAATAATTACTCTGGAGCAGGAGCAGACTAGAATTGTTCTAGGCAGACTAGGGTACATACGTGGTCCCCCTGAACAGCTAAGGGTCAGGTCTACACCTTTGCTGCAGAAGTCTTGTCACAGTGAGACATCTCTTGGACGGAAGCTAGGAGGATTTGAGGCTGAGGGTCTCTAGACTGGACTGCAGAAATATATTTAAGTAGCCATTAACAAGCCTTGTCTGGTTTGTGGCTCAGATTGGCTTGTGATGGAAAGGCACTAATGGATTGGGGACATTTATTTTCCCAGACTGATTTACAGAGGGAGGCCACATGAAACTGCTAGAATGAGAGCAGTTGGATGAAAAATGGTCCCAGCCGGTCATGGCTCTATTGGCTGATCTGAAAATGGGCTGAGGGCAGGCCACACTAAAGGAAAGCTAACACACGGTGGTATTCTAACATGTCACAGGGAGGGTGCCTGGGTGGCTCAGTTGGTTAAGCGACTGCCTTCGGCTCAGGTCATGATCCTGGAGTCCCTGGATCGAGTCCCGCATCGGGCTCCCTGCTCAGCAGGGAGTCTGCTTCTCCCTCTGACCCTCCCCCCTCTCATGTGCTCTCTCTCTCTCTCTCTCTCTCTCATTCTCTCTGTCTCAAATAAAAAAAAAAAAATCTTAACATGTCACAGGGGTAGAGTGCATTGGGCTAGGGGAGGGAACTAACATTTGCCGAGCACTTGTTCGGAGCCACGAACTGAGTTGCCTGCTATGTACTTTGTT